TCACGATAGAAGATAAAAACAAAAACGCTTAATAAAGGCTTGGCAGTATCAATGAGCTAGCACTTCATTTGTCATTGTGTTGTGGTATATAGCGTGGGCGTTCGCGCGCTTTCAAATATCTGGATAGCTCTCGAAGTCTCTCATGCGCCGTCGAAGTGGCGGAAAATGCCCCTTGCTATAGTGCGACATGTATATGGATTGGCAATCAATTAAACTTGAATGCGCGAAGTGCTTCGAAGTTCTCACAGCTACGATCGGTGTCAGGCTTCACGCAATATCTTGCTCCGAGCCGGAATTCACGCTTGTTCGCTTGGTTGGGACATCCACTATTCCGTCAGCATTTGTTCTTTCGTTGCTTATTATGACACTAGAACGCTATTTGAGCTCTAATTGTAACCACTTAAGGAAAAAAAATTGTATTGCTTTTACGAATGGTACAACCGAGCCCCGAAATTTTTCTTTTGCATTATTAAGCAGGACCGCTCTCGAGAAGCAAGACAAGCTCCAACAACGTTGAAGCATTGTATTTATGTACCGAGACAATTATGCAAAAAACCACTGAAAAATGGCTCAATATACCCGCATGACTACGACATAAAAACGAGATGACGTGGCGCAGAAACAAAAGCTGCATTGCACTATAGATCTTTTATGTACAGTTGTGTTAAATTATTTGCAATATTGCCCGCATTTATGAAGCGCTTACTAAACAAAATTACAATAATTGAGATCATCTCGATCACAATAAAAAAGTGTATCCATCAAGCTTACTCACTTTGGTAGTAATACACGAAGTATTTCTAAAAACATCAGAATATCGCGCTAGCAGACGTAACGCGAACCCAGAATTCGCTGAGAGAACCAATTATTTCAGTTTTGACGCTGAATTATAATATTTATTTGGTGCTTTTGTAGTTTTTACGTTAGCGAGCATCATCAAACGTTTTCTTTTGTTGATCATGTATGATGTTATTCTGTGGCTACATATCATTGAATATATTACTGTACACACCTTCTTGGTAACACAATTATTGCATTTCAAATGGTAATAAAGCACATATCTGGACACTACTACTGCAATTGATCGGTTGGGGTGACGTGTGATACATTTATTATTATAGCGACAATAAGAGATATGCCTACTCTGGATGCAAGCAATGTGTGACAATAGAAGGCTTGAGCAAAATATTGTGCAAGCACACCATAATGAGACGTCGTTTGCTGTTTTCAGAGATGCGAAATTTTTTCAACACGACGAATACACACGCGCGATTCAAGCTTCTCAAAGTTGTTTCTTTCATCACTGAACTCCGATGCGAGAATGATATGGTGGTTTTGGGACGTTTAACTTCACATATCAATCAATCAATCAATCAAGAAGCACAGACGAAAAATATAAATGCCGTGCAGGAACATGCATTGAATGGTCTGTGCAGAAACGTCAGCTATATATATATATATATATATATATATATATATATATACACCTCGATTGCTGATAACGAAATGTTTTTTTTTTTTGCTGCCTTCATACACACTTGACCACTTGAATTTAGGCGATACACTTCAGCCAATCATATTTCTGCGCGCCCAAGTATGCTATACAGGAAGAGAAAATCGCCACCAAAGCATCAGCTCAAAGAGTACAAGTCTATATGAAGGCTTCTGGGATATCATGCACAAAAAACACGACATGATTTTGATCGAGGTATACGGGAGACTCCACATTAATATTGACTAATTGAGATATTGTTACGTGGAAGTACATTTGAGTGCACGATTGGTTTCACATTTCAAACCATTCAGCCCTCCACGGTCGGTATGGAACGGATGATCTCGACCAGGAGTGCAACGTCGCGACGAGTGTGCGTGTTCACATGCATGTGGTGCGACTTTATATACGGCTATTAGCACCCAAAAGTGGACCATAGGGCGCCATGAAGCTTTTTGGGCCGCCTCAGCATTGTTAGTACCGACCGCCGTAGATACCAAGAAAATGAAACTCTCGCTGAACACAATGAGAAGATGAAGTGACAATGCCCTTTTGTGCGCGTTTTCAAAAAAGGCTTCCTGGGCGCTTACATAATTATATGGGATATAACACAACGGGAGCGTTGTCAACAAGGATAAATATATTTATTTCCAAACAGTTCCGGGAGGGGTCCTCCCTTAGTCAGGGGATGAGTTAAGACTAACGTGGTGGTGGTAGTGGTTCATGTGGAAAAGGAAGAAGGCACCTAATTTCTGTCTGCCTACAGGCGACACGGCGCAGTGCCTTTGGTTGGGGTAGAGGGGGATGAAAGAAGATAGGAGAAATAGTGGTGGAGTGTAGAGAGGGATGTCCGGGCCGCTTCAGCGCGAGCAGCAGGCCGTCGGCAAGGGCAAGGGCAGCATGGCTCCTGGGATCAGTGGTAGGCGGAAATTCCCGACTCCTCCACGAACTCCGCCAGGCTGCGGAGTGCTGCTGGATGTAGACGAGACGGGAACAGCAGGTGTTTCAGGGTGGAGACGGGCAGACCCTGTCTCCTGTAGGCCGCGTAGGCCCTCAAGCGTTCCTGTGCTAAGCCAGGGCAGGCACAGAGGAGGTGTTCGAGGGTCTCTGGGTCTCCGCAGCGGCTGCAGGCCGGGGAGGGACAGAGGCCCTTGGCGTGGCGGCGGGCCGCCGTCCATACGCAGCCAGTCCGCAGTCGTAATAGGGAGGCCCGTTCTCTCCTGGTGAGGCCCGTCTCTGGGAGAGGCTTTGGTCCTCGCCCGCCGGCCACCCTCGGGTCTGGGTGGACTGTGACGAGGAGCCTCTTGAGACGGGCCTGTGAATAGTCCCTGGCCGCCACGGCACAGGAGTAGGGAGTACCAGGCTGGTGGGCAGCCTTGGCGAGGGTGTCCGCCTTCTCGTTTCCAGCGATGCCCACGTGGGAGGGCAGCCAGTGGAAGGAGACGGACACACCGGCGTCGGTGAGGGCGCGAACCTTGGCCCTCAGGAGGCAGGCCGTCAGTCCGGCACGGCGGGAGTTGGCCAGGGTCTGCAGGGCCGCCTTGCTGTCGCATAGAACCGCGGCCGGCTCAAGGGGGATGTCCTCAGCCAGCAGGTCTACTGCGAGATGCAGTCCAGCCAGTTCCGCAGCCGTGGAGCTCGCCGGAAAGGCAAGCCTGCACTGCCGGCTGCTGGTTCTGGACGGGATTACGCATGCGGCCGCTGCGGTCCCGTATGGCATCACAGATCCGTCCGTGAACACCTGCAGCCGTCCCTCCAGTTGTTCCTGGAGCTTGCAGAAGGCCGCCTGTTGCAGTGCGGCCGCAGGCGTTCGTCGCTTGGTTGCCCCTTCCAAGCAGTGGTGGACCTCTGGTGGCTGGTGGTGAGGCGGTGGAGAGGCAACCGGAACTGGCGGATCTGGGACCATTTGGTGGTACAGCAGGCAGAGGCCTCCCATCCGTGATCCTGGCTGGCTGCGGAGACGCTCCAGGAGGGTCCTGCCGACGGGGGCGCGGTGAAGGCGGTCAATGTGGCCCAGTGCTCGTTGCAGCATACGTAACGACAGGGGCCACTCTCCTGCCTCCGCGAGAGTTGCTGCCACCGGCGAGCTTTTGGGAAGCCCCAGGATGGTGGTGGTGGTAGTGGTTCATGTGGAAAAGGAAGAAGGCACCTAATTTCTGTCTGCCTACAGGCGACAGGGCGCAGTGCCTTTGGTTGGGGTAGAGGGGGATGAAAGAGGATAGGAGAAATAGTGGTGGAGTGTAGAGAGGGATGTCTGGGCTGCTTCAGCGCGAGCAGCAGGTCGTCGGCAAGGGCAAGGGCAGCATGGCTCCTGGGATCAGGGGTAGGCGGCAATTCCCGACTCCTCCACGAACTCCGCCAGGCTGCGGAGTGCTGCTGGATGTGGACGAGACGGGAACAGCAGGTGTTTCAGGGTGGAGACAAGCAGACCCTGTCTCCTGTAGGCCGCGTAGGCCCTCAAGCGTTCCTGTGCTAAGCCAGGGCAGGCACAGAGGAGGTGTTCGATGGTCTCTGGGTCTCCGCAACGACTGCAGGCCGGGGAGGGGCAGAGTCCCTTGGCGTGGCGGCGGGCCGCCGTCCACACGCAGCCAGTCCGCAGTCGCAACAGGGAGGCCCGTTCTCTCCTGGTGAGGCCCGTCTCTGGGAGAGGCTTTGGTCCTCGCCCGCTGGCCATCCTCGGGTCTGGGTGGACTGTGATGAGGAGCCTCTTGAGACGGGCCTGTGAATAGTCCCTGGCCACCATGGCACAGGAGTAGGGAGTACTAGGCTGGTTGGCAGCCTTGGCGAGGGTGTCCGCCTTCTCGTTTCCGGCAATGCCCACGTGGGAGGGCAGCCAGTAGAAGGTGACGGACACCCCGGCGTCGGTGAGGGCGCGAACCTTGGCCCTCAGGAGGCAGGCCGTCAGTCCAGCACGGCGGGAGTTGGCCAGGGTCTGCAGGGCCGCCTTGCTGTCACACAGCACCGCGGCCGGCTCACGGGGAGTGTCCTCAGCCAACAGGTCCACCGCGAGATGCAGTCCAGCCAGTTCCGCAGCCGTGGAGCTCGCCGGGAAGGGAAGCCTGCACTGCCGGCTGTTGGTTCTAGACGGGATTACGCATGCGGCCGCTGCGGTCCCGTCTGGCATCACAGATCCGTCCGTGAGCACCTGCAGCCGTCCCTCCAGTTGTTCCTGGAGCTTGCGGAAGGCCGCCTGTTGTAGTGCGGCCGCAGGCGTTCGTCGCTTGGTTGCCCCTTCCAAGCAGAGGTGGACCTCTGGTGGCTGGTGGTGAGGCGGTGGAGAGGCAACCGGAACTGGCGGATCTGGGACCATTTGGTGGTACAGCAGGCAGAGGCCTCCCATCCGTGATCCTGGCTGGCTGCGGAGACGCTCCAGGAGGGCCCTGCCGTCGGTGGCGCGGTGAAGGCGGTCAATGTGGCCCAGCGCTCGTTGCAGCATATGCAACGACAGGGGCCACTCTCCTCCTCTGCGAGAGTTGCTGCCACTGGCGAGCTTTTGGGAAGCCCCAGGATGGCCCTCAGTGCACCCCTGTGGAGTCCCTCCAGCAGGCGCCTCCTGGCCGGTGTCAGGCTCACCAGCGGGAAGGCGTACAGGAGGACCGAGGACGCCGCGGCCTGGTTGAGCCGGAGGGCCCACTTGGTGGAGCAGCCGCGGCCACGCAGCTGCAGCCTGCTGATGACGCCCTGGACGCGCCGCACCTTGGTGGCAGCAGCCTTGGCAACCGGGATCCAGGTGAGTCGGTGGTCGATGGTTCAAACATCGTTGCTGTCGCGTCCCTCTCGCCTCGAAAGATGTTCGTGAGAGTGAAAGAGAACTAAAAAAAACACTGTGAACCACTGTGAACGCTGAGCACAAAACCAGACTGCGCACATCCAAACGTCGGTGTAAGTCCACATCTGCTTTTCATCTTGCGCTGCCAGTTCTCGACGTGTGTCGGGCCACCCAAGATTGCCGCCGTGGTGGCGGAAGGGACCCACGATGGCGCGCGTAAGGGAAGAGTTTTATCCTAATGGGTGGTGGTGGTTGTGGTTGTAAGGAAGAGAAAAAAAAGGCACCTAATTTCTGTCTGCCTCACGGGCGACACGACACAGTGCCTTATAGGGGTGGGGGGAAGGAGGGATGAGAAGAATAGAAGAAATAGACGAAAAAAATAGAGAGGCAAGCGACGGAAAATAGAAGGAGATAGCAAAGTGAGGATCGGTCGGCTCTTTACCTTTCATCTTCGCCCGTTTCCCCTCCACGACCTTCAAGTGATACGTGAGCGTAAACACTTCACTTTGTATGTACACGTGGAGAAAAAAAACAAGAAAAGACACTGTACACGTACGAGTCAGTCAGAAGAGAAGGATCGTCTCAAGTTATGAATCTGTTGCCAATTTCCTCCTGACTTACTTCCCAGAGGCAGGATAGCCTTCCGGGGTCCTCGTTGATGCCGGCTATTAATGTTCTAAATATTAAAATAAAATATGCCTCACGCTGTTCGTGCTCGCGCCTTTTCAAGAAACCGGACTGTGAAAGAGTTACGCTGATATTTTTTAAAAACTGTGGTTTGGCAGGCGCGGATGTCTAGACTAAGGTAGCTTCGGCAGTGGAATGGCGTGGTACCGGTGATTATTGAACCGCAGCCGAAATGGCGTGTCTGTTTGGCCAATATATTCTTGCCCGCATATGTTGCAATGTAGCATGTATATTACGTTACTGGAGTCACAATTAAGGCTTTCAGTTATGCAGAATTTGAAATCTGAGAAGTTCGCTTTTAATTCACGTGTTGTGACCACCTTTGGGCATACCTTGCAGCGAGGTTTTCAGCGCGGATGCGGATGGCACTTTGAATTTTAAAGGGGTTTGTTTTTGCTCTGACAAGAATGTATTTCAGGTTTTTATCCCTGCGGTACGCCACGTGAGGTGGCTCCACGAAAGCTGAAGTTAGTCGTTTGCTTTGCCTGATTATGTTGAAATGGCGGGAAAGTATGTTATTGACACGTGGCGCTGGTGTAGAGTAAGTTAGTACAAGGTTTGTTTGGGAAGTCGTTTTAGATACTCTTATTGGCCCCTTCAGCATATCATTCCGGTTCACGTTGCGCGCATGTAGTATGGCATCGTCAATAATGTATTCGGGATAATTTTGTTTCGATAGGGAATGCTTTAGCTGTTCTGCGTGTCTGTCGAATTCATGTATATTGATGCACATTCTTCGGCACCGGTAGGCCTGAGAATATTCGGTACCCATTTTGCAATGCTTTGGATTGCTGCTGTTGAAATGTAGGTACATTTGCCGGTCTGTAGGCTTTTTGTGAAGGTTTGTTGACAGGCGGTCATTTTCGACCGGGACAGTGACGTCCAAGAAGTTATTGCTAGACAGGCGGTCATTTTCGACCGGGACAGTGACGTCCAAGAAGTTATTGCTAGTTTTGGAAATTTTGTGCGTGAATTTATTCAAAGAGTGGTGCTTGTTGAAATCCTCTATGAAGCGGAGAAGACTTCGCTCATCGTGGTTCCATATCATTAAAATGTCGTCTAAATATCTTCTGTAGTAGAAAGGTTTCAAGGTGCGTTCTTCAATTAATGGGATTTCAAGTGCTGCCATAAAGGTGCTTGCAAAGTTCGGGGACATTTTTGTTCCCATTGCAGAGCCACTAACCTGATTCAAGTGCTTGCCCTTTCACTCAGAATGGATATAATTTAGTACAAGTTCAAGAAGTGTGAACAGTACCACGTCACTTACACCAGTTGATGAGTCAATTTTTACATATTCAGAAACCACAGCCGTTATTCTGTCATGGTGGGGTATGTTGGTTTACAGTGAGCAGACGTCCATGGTCACCAACAAACTACCGCCTGGGATGTTGAAACTTGAAGTTGCGCAAATAAATATATATATATATATATATATATATATATATATATATATATATATTGAGAGTTACAGCATGTTGTATCCGACCATATATCTTGCCCAGTAAGCACGTTGCATCAAGACATCCAAGACCGCCCTTCTTTCGTGTAACTTTAGTGTCTGGAGCTACAGCATCGCAACACCCGTAACGTTATAATGTTGGGCGTTGTTATCGTTTACGCGAGCTAAACATCATGTATGGAAGAGTTTCAATGCACGTTGAAGATCAAAAAATTGCAAAAAAATGTATAAAAATTGTTGTAGTTCACGCACGCACGCGCACCCTCCCGCCTTGTACACACAGACACACACACACACACACCACAGGAGTTACCATCACGCAGTTTTGAGACTTAGATTTCTCGACGATAGTTATAGCGCGAGAACAAAACGACGACACAGAGACAAGCAGGACACGTCGTTTTGTTCTCGCGCTATAACTATCGTCATGCCATACCAACTAGCCCAAGCTGCCACACTTCTAAGTTAGATTTCTCATTTCGGAAATGGACCGCAGCGACTGCCAACCAAGTTTGGTTAAGCTCTCTCCGCCAATCACACTTGCTCAGTGCACCGAGTGCGCCTGGCGCCAGAGCGCCTGGTTTCTCTTGGAACTGCCGCTGCCACATGCGGTCACCGTGCGCGAATCTGCGATCGTTTCCGGCCCTGCGGTTAATCAGTGGCGCGCTGGCGACAAAGTGAGAGAGCCGACTTCGCGTTGGTTTGCCTATTAGCGCACCGAGCGACGCCGATTAGGCTGCCGCCGTCCTTTCCCCGGCGGGGGAAGGCCAAGGGCGGCCTACCTTCACGCTCATTCTTTACCACGACGGCCTCTCTCGCCTTCTTCACGAAAACTGCGGGAAAACAAGCGACGACGGCCTGCTCTTGCCCGGCGCCTGCTTTGTCATACTCGGAGCGCGTGACAGCTGCTCTATCGGGACCACCATGCGTTCGAGTTGGCGTGTTATCGTCCAAAAAAAAAAAGAAAAAAAAAGCCACGACTGCGTCTCACCCCGCAAGTTGTGACGGCGCTCCAGAGTTTTTTGGTAGTCACGCAGCTCAATTTCACCGCTCTAGGCGGTGACCTGGAGCAGCGCTCGCAGCCGGCGGATCGTCAGATGGTTTTATAGTGCTAAAAAAGGCGCTCGAATGCGCACAATACGAGTGAAACAATAATAGGTCCGAAGGTCAATCTGTCGAGAGAATCGAGCTCACTGAAAATTTGCGGTGCTACAAAAATGAAAGCGCCATTGTGGTTACGACGCGACCAACGCGGATAAAGAAAATAACACGCAGTTGTCTTCGACCGCGTTTGTCGCAGTGTAGCCAAGAGAAATGTGTATACCGCACCTCGCCCGATACCTGAATAAGTGAGGCTTGTTTCTTCGTCACGTTTATTGAATGGCCACTCACCACCGCGCCTTCAAGAACGAGGGGGCGCTTTTAATTTTCCTCTCCTCCGCACACGCGATGCTTCCTCCTCGCCCCTTGGTTTTGAAACGCACGCGAACAATGTCAGCACTGAGCGCTATAGAGCCTATCATCATTTCGTGCTTGTCGGCTATGCGCTGCTATCGCCGCTCGCGCAGTTGTAAACACACAAGATGAAGTGTGATCGGTTGATCGTGCTCGATATTCGTGCGAGAAAATAAAGAACGGAAGGGCAGCTGCATGGCAAAGCAGTGCAGGAGACAAATTACATTTGATACATTGCGTATATAGACCAATCGAGAGCATGTACACTATAGACGTCTCGGGAACTACTGTCTGCACCACGGAAGCGAGCAAGGACAAGATAAGCCAGGATAGAGTATTGCGCTCATTTTTTTTTTTTTAATGTTGAGAGCCTGTTGCGTGGCTCTTTAAAGCATATCTCAGGACAGTAGCGGGAAAATTAAGAAGTCGAACGGGAGCTTTGTACCGGGAATCACACACTATTGCCAGAACACAAACCGATGTCGACGTGAGATCCCAGAGGCGCCGAACAGCAGGAAAGTGGACACCCAAGTCGGTGAACAGCAAATTGTACGACTTGCGAATGAATGACTGGTGTAAACTAGAAAAAGGGTGGACTTTGTTCAATATATTAATTGAAAACGTCAAATTGGGCATTTAGCAAATTTGCTGTACCTCTATAGTGAGAAAAATGGCGAGCATTGTGGATGCTCTTTCATCTTACATCTTGCATCGAAGCCGTCAACAACGTTTATTCGATCAATCTTTTGTATAACGAAATCCGCCATGGTAGCTTTGTCGTCTAACAGGCCAGAGGTCCAGCTTTGGGACATAAAAAACAAAGCTGGGAGAAGAGGGGGCTGATTACCTCGGTCACTCTGGGCTCAAAAAATGTTTTTTCTTCCTTTTTTGTGGAGAAAGGAACAGAACACTGATTAGATTTCCAGGCTCGGCTCTCGCAATGTAACTTAGAAGTGTGGCAGCTTGGGCTAGCTGGTATGGCATGACGATAGTTATAGCGCGAGAACAAAACGACGACACAGAGACAAGAAGGACACGTGTCTTTCGTGTCCTTCTTCTCTCTGTGTCGTCGTTTTGTTCTCGCGCTGTAACTATCGTCGGCTTTGGCATTTGGATTTTGTCGGAATAATAAAAAAAACACGCAGTCATGGATTATGTGCTTCAGATTTGTTGGAACGTTAAAGAAATATAGAGGCGAGGATGTTGAGTTTTCGACACGAATGTCTCCAGGGTTTTTTTTTTTGAAAGAGACTCTAAAGAGAAAAATGATATTTTGCGTATATTAGTAATTCATGTTAACCCCCCCACCAAAAATATATAATATATATAATATATATATATACATATATACATACATACA